ACAATTGAACGGACAACTAAACCCGGTAAATCAAGTTCAAGAGAGTCAACGTACCTTCACAGAACTTTCCTTGGGAGTCGCCTTTGAATGCTCTATCAGCTTAGCCTCGATGCCCTTTCCAAAATTCCAATAGACAAAATAAGAATACATCTTTATGTTTTGAAAAAGAAGGAATAGTGAAGGACAAATGGAATATTTGCCCACCAAGAAGGAGACAGCAAAACTGCAGTTCCATTACAGATACGAGTAACAAACACCAAAAGTTCCAAGAGAACGTGTTTTTACGGAAAAGACGCCTAAGTTTTTATTAACAGTAGCATAGTAACAGTTTTTGTGGTTTAGGTCAGTTTCAAGTAAATCTTATAGGATAATTTGCCAACCACCAAAGGAGAAGTCATTGTTCAGCAGAATGGAAAAATACAGTGGTAGCCATTGATCACAGCCTTAATTGGAAGAGCCAACACTTGTTCAAAATGCAATAGAGAAAAGACGAGAAAAAACTTGAGTAGCTGCTTGTATTCCTTACGGGAGGAAGAAAGTGAATAAAGAGGAAGGACAACAATAGTTGAAAGGCTTTCATCTATTAACATAATAAAAATACCTGAATAACCTTAGTATTTTGAACATCCTTAATGCCCCCAGCAGCTTGGCACAAGTACCACAAACCAGAATTAGTCACATCCTGTGGGGTGGGGAAAGTTAAACAAGCAAAAGTTGTGATGCAACTGCAATAGTAATAGACAGAACATAGGAAGAAGGGACAAAAAGTATGTCGCAGACATATACAGATATTCACCTGGTTACTCTCAAGAAGCTCAATCTTCCCTTCCTGCCAAATTGAGCAACAACTGAAAGATTACAAAATGACTAGCCAACGGATCTTTACCAGCAATGCCATATTGACACTATTTTCCAAACAACAGACTCACCAATCCAGACACCATCTCATGGATTAAGTTTATATCGAAACCAATTTGATTTAGATTAGCCTTAACATCTCTCACCTGCATAAAGAAACATCTGATGTTGAGCACTGACAAAGAAAGTCTCCCAGTGCCTCGATGCATAAAATCTATGACTGAGATATTCAAGCAAGTAGCCAGCTATAATTATTTTCTAACCTTAACCGTTACCCTTTAAAAAAATAAATTCTGGCCACTAATTTTACAAGCAACCGACAAAATTCAGCTCGCGTAGTCAAGTTTTGTCAAAGAACTTGATTGTTACCTCATTCCCCTCGTGAATTTTTTCTTTCTATAACTGAGGTAAAACTTAATATTTTTTTTCCTTTAGTGTGCAAGTGCGGAAACAGGAGTTACAGGAAACTACTTCTCACATAAGATAAAAGAATCCTTCATAATACATCAATGTTAAAAGGAGAATGGGGAGAAATGTTATTCTCCTTACATCATTAGTAATAAGGTTTGAGATCTCAATTTGCTCATCTAGCTTCCAGTCCAAGTTTTCCAGCCTCTTAGTCAAATGTCTTCTTGTAGACTACAAAAGAAGTATCAGTGAAAAAAGTATGAGTATAGTCATTAGCATATACTACACAGATAATCCAGGAAACTCCTGACAATTCTTGACTCACAGCCAATGCATCAGATACGTTGTCCAACTGCTTAGACACAGATGCAACAGCATTCGCCATATTATGCTTTGTGACATACATTACATCAGAAAATGACCAACCCTGCGGAGAATTAGTAAGAGCATAAGATTTATAACAAACATATAACAATATCCTAGGGGTGTCGATAGATATAAACTACAGCAGAGAATACTTACCTTCCACTTCATGTAACAATATCCCATCGCCCCAACTGCGGCAGCCGGAAGAATGTAAGAACCATAGCTCCCTAAAAAAGCAAAGGTTCAGAACCATGTCAGCTCTACTTCAACTGGGGCAATGGTGCACTTATTGAAGAAAAGGTTACATAATTCAAAACTTAATTATCAGAGTCCATTTAAGAAATTGCTGTTCCATTATAGAGAAATCAGCACAGGCACTATGATGGGAGACACAATGTAAAGTGAACATAAAAAGACGGAAACATACCACTGGAGGAAGAATCCTTATTGAAAATAGTAATTGGATTTGATATGCTCATCTCCCGGATCTCTTGTGCTAATTGTCGAATCTAAAGGCAATATCAGAACAAAGAAAGGCTTGGATGAGGTAATAGTGGAGTTATATAGGAAACATGCTAGGTACTTATTAATTTGTAACATCACATTAACATATACCAGGAGCTCTACCTTGCCACTTCCTTCTTCACTGGATAAGTATATACATAGAAGATTCTTAATAACTGACCCAATTTTAGTATTGATGCTACATACAAATGCCATGCCCATTAAAGTGCAAAAGTCAAGTTCATCGATGAAACATATTTTGGCAAGAGTAATAATTCAAAACTGTTGAATTGTATTGACCATTGTGAAGAGTCCCACATCACTAGGAAGAGAGTTTGGACCTCTTATACGGTCTTGGATAATGCTCTACTATTGAGCAAGATTTTAGGGATGAGTTAGGCCCAAAATTCATTTTTTAACATAGTATCAGAGCTCATCCCATCCCAAGTCATGAGTTATCGATATTGGACCACTATAAAATTGTCCACACTCCAAATGTTCAGCCTTGGGCGTGAGAGATGTATTGAAAAGACTGAAGAGTCCCACATCTGCAATGGGGAGGAAATTTGGACTCTTTATATGTCCTTGGGACAATCCTCATCTCTTGAGTTAGCTTTTGGGGTTGAGTTAGGTGCAATGTCCATTTTCTTAACAACCACGGACTAGCTTGTCTAAATGCTTAAATCATTAGAAATGAGATGCTTTTATTTATTTATCAAGCTTGTCAATATGCCCTCGATTCTGATTCTTTTTCTTGAGTCACGTGCGTATAAATATTGTTTTGCTGATGGGTAGAGATGAGACTCAAACCAAGGACGTCACGTACTATGCTACCATGTTGAATTTGTGTGACTACCTTATTAAAAGCTTAAACTATCACACAAAAGATGCTCTTCTTTATTTATTTTAGGTCAACAAAATAATATCCTCTTCTTCTATTTGAAAGGAATGAAGATAGTACCAATGAGCTTTAAAGTATCTTTTATGATAAACATTGTGACAAGGCTATTCAGCTTCCCCTAACCCTTTTGATTATTTCTCCCCTCTACCTTGTGCCACTAAATCTGAAGTATCATATGACATAATGTCTTAAATAAAATTGTTATGTTTTTTACCTTTATCTTCTTTTCCTTCAAAACAACTGATGAATCTACTTTGATAAGCACGAGATGAATGTAATTTACTAACAAAAAAATAATGTAATACCTGAGCTGCTAGAAGAGCAGTGTCATATTTACCAGGAGATGTCTCAGCTGCATTCACACCATTTATCACCTCCTGAAGCTGCGAGATCAGATCGGATAATCGTCCACTCTTCAATATTACTGACCCAGTCAAACCTACATCACAACCAAATTAGTCTAGCCCCCAAAGGAAGAACCTATAAATATTTGAAGGAACTATTAACTCAGATTCGAACTGCAAAAAACTTGAAGATGCCAATAATCTAAGACTGCTTTCTCCCCTAACATCCAATATCATGTGTCTGTGTCCTAAAAAAATTTCTGCTCTATGGTAGTATTAAAAGTAACTCCATAGAAGGGGAGGAGGAGGAGGGCGGGGGCGGGGTTGGTCCACCAAAGGAAATGCAACACGATAGAAGAGTCGCTGCGCCACATAAGAATAATTGACCACGACTACGATCTGCTTTCCATTCTCGTTCCTAGTCCTGTAGGGGAAGGGGGCTCAGCTCTTACATCAAATAATCACCCCCCATCCTATCCCCTTCTCCCCCCTCTAAATCCCTCAAGCCTCAAGGTTAAACATTAGCTATTATGAGTGTACATTTAATATTGCACACTCTCTACACAACTGAGAAGAAATTCTGCAAACCCTTTGATAATTCCTGAATGTTTTTTCTCCAAATTCCTGGATATAAAGGAAGTTTTGGATACTAGTTTAACGGCCAATGTATAATAAGCCTATACTGAGTTCTCTGAATACTGCAGGAACTTAACAAAGCAGACTGAATAGTTATTTATTCATTACTACTAATAAAAATTACTCAAACAATCACTTTCTGTTAGATCAAGGTTCCAATTTCCAAATTAGCAGCTAAACTAAGCTAATTTCCACGAGCTTCGGAAGCAAAATGAATCTCGATTTCTTCCTTCCTTCCTTTCATTGACTACTTAAAAGTAAAACAACTATAAACGGAATATAAACTGATGAACTCTATATATATTCAGAGAAATCACCTGCGCCGACGAGTATGAGTACTTTGGAAGTGGCGACGCCGGTTTGCATCGCCATGTTTCGGTGTTGTGAAGCCGCCGCCGGTGGAACTAATCGTTGAATTTCAATATCTCCGGCGAACTTATACCTTTCCCTTTTTGTCCAACTTATTGAATGCTTTAATATTAATATACAGTCATTTGTTATACAATTATTTAGTTTCACAAAATTACTGGGAAAAAATATTTGAAAGTTACATTTTACTGTTTAAGAAAAACTGCCACATGATTTTTTGTAGAATTATAAATATTCTCTTTATCTTTATTTAAAGACTTCGAAAATTTTAAATTTGTTATTGTCTTGTTAGAAAATTCTTCCAAGTGAATTCGAATTAATTAGTTGATGGTGGTTTATATTACCCTTTATAGTATTTTACTTTTTTTTTTCAATTTATTCATTGAAATCAATATATGAGAAAAAGAGGAAAAATAAATACTAAATAAGAAAATTAGTTTTTACCGATTCATTATCACATATACAAACTATTTACTATTTTATTTGAGAGCAGAGCTAGAAAGCTTGATATTTATTTATAATTTTTTTGACAAAAAATTAATTGTATATGTATTTTTTTATATATTATATAATAGATATTAAATCTATTCTTGTCAGATAATCAAAGTAGCTCAGTTGGTTTAATTAGTTGAATTGTCATTTTGTTGGTGAGAGTTCGATTCTCCATTACGCAATCTCCTCTTCAATTTAAGAGAAAAAGATATGCTACAAGGTGGAGAATCGAACTACCGCTAACAGAATGGAAGTTCAAATACTTAATCAATTAAGCTACTAATATTTTACTCTATGTACTTTTTTTCTAAAAAAAGAATCATTACTAGATTAAACTGATCAATATTCTAGAGTTTTCTTGCCATGGTTTGATTACCCAAATTTGCAATTGTTTGAACCTTAATTTCCTATGTATTTTATACGTTATTTTTTATTGTCTTTTCTACTTTTTACTAATATATTTTTTAAAATCGTCTATTCCAATCCTTCTACTAAACGTTCTAGACAATTTTAAAGATACATCCTGCGAGACTCAATTATGTGGAACCACCATAAGTATGTTTTTATATTACTTTTTTTTTTCGATAGAAATCAACTCACACTTTAAACTAATACTATTAACTAAAACTAAAATTCACTTAAAATTTTATTTTCTTTAACTTTTTGAATATTTTAGCTATATATAATACATACCATCATATGATTCGCGCCTAATTTTCGCACCAAGCTCACGTTTCTCTCGACGTTTTTGAATCATCCGTCGTATTCCGAGAGAAAATAATCGCCGAATTGCTATCTCCTCGACCGTCGGCGACAATGGGGGACGTGAAGAAGAAATGGAGCGTTACGTACACGAAGCATCTCAAGCAGAAGCGAAAAGTTTATCAAGATGGATTCTTAGAGCTTCAATCCTCCAGCCACAAGGTGTGTTTTCATATTTCCATACTTAGATTTCCCATTTTTAGATCCGTTTGCCTGTTTATACATTTTGAAATCGGTTGAAATACCATATTTTACCTGCTAAGTATTCTAATTTGGTAGATATCACGTTCAGTAATTTGAGGAAAAAATTGTAAATCAAACAGTTGTTTGGGAGTTAATACATGAAACCCTTTGAGTTGATATCAGATGAGCTGAGAGCTGAAAATTTATGTCGGTGAGTGTGAATTAGCATTGTGTTTATTGCTCCTTTTTGACTATGAGTTTGGACTTTGTATGCTTAATTTAAGGTGTAAATTATTTGCCGTTTCAAGTAATTTGAGAAAAAAAACAAATTAACTAGTTGTTTGATAGTTGTGGTGCCAATTGGATAAAATATCAGAGGCTGATCTGGGAGTTTTAAGTCAGTGAATGCGAATTAGCACTGTGTTCATTGCTCCTTTTTAAAAATGAGTCTGGACTTTGTATGTTTTATTAAGATGTAAATTATGTGCTGCTTCAAGTAATTTGAGAAAAAAAAACAAATTAACCAGTTGTTTGCGAGTTGTGATACACATTGATTTAAATCAGAGGCTGATCCGGGAATATACGTCACTGAGTGCGAATTAGCACTGTGCTCATTGCTCCTTTTTGACAATGAGTCTGGACTTCATATGTTTTATTTAAGCTGTACATTATGTGCAAGTTCAGTTCCATGTATTGTTTTACTCACATTTAATCTAAATTGCTTTCCAATCTTAAGTTATGCAAAAACTTGATAACTTGGCAGCGATATCATGAAATTTGTTTTTGGGTCCATCTGTGTAGTCATCTGGGGCACAAATATATATATGCAACTATTATGAGCTGCTTGCAAATGAAACTACAGTAAGGAAATGTAGCATCTTAAGCAAAGAAGATCCAACAAAATAAGCAGTGAGTGCCAATAGTATTGGAAGCAGAATGTATAGAAGATGTAAAGAAACGTGTTAACGGCGTGGATTATGGATTACTTGATGTGCTCACTACCTTTAAATACTGGGTTCTTCTCAAGCTGCTAGAGTTATATTAGTGCTACTATCAAAGAGGCTACAGGTACCTAAATAAAATATGTTTGGAAGGGGTTGTACGGACTACCCTTGGCGGTTGAATAGAAAGGGTCTAGGTCTGGTAAAACCATAAAATACATCATCAAGCAATGTGTGTAACACAATAAAAACTTCTGGTTTTATACAGGTAATGCTCTATGATGATTGTGAGAAGCTGTTATGTGTTAAGATTTTGAAGAACGATAATGATGTCAAAACAGGCGAAACACTAGCATTTGATTCTTACCTTGTTGATATTGGTGATCCTCACGGTGATTACAAACCTATATCCGTATTAAATAGTACTAAACTGATGAAAAAGGAAGTTGCTGAGGAATCTGGGCTACGGCATTCTGGAAAAAGATCAGCTGCTGCTGGTATCACTGAACGTTCTTTCTTTTCTTTTTGGATTTCGCAAATTGTTTATGATTTGATGTTGTTCTTCATTTTTAAATTCTGCACATGATTATTCTTTTTGCAACATTTTCTTTCTTTTCCCTCAGATAATAGGAAATCTAATCTGGGGAAAAGGATAGCATTGGCAAGTACTCTAAGTCCATCACAAAAGATTATCAGAGGTTCTTCAGATGATCTCTGTCCTTCTATATCAGTGAAGTGCAATAATATGCTTATTTCTTTGGTCACCGTTTCTGACATGATGAAGTTCACAGCATGAATTCATGAGGGCCTGTACAAACACATGATTTCCTATCATTGAGTCTCTGATTGTGAGATTATGGGCCTTATGGGTTTTATATGAGTTAGAAAGTTCAAGCTGACCTTTATTAATCTATCTAATGTCCTTCCTCTGTTATTGTTCCGAGTGTGTACTATATTTAATAACAAATTTCAACTTGCAGAGTTCAAGAAGAATGAAGTACACAAATATAATTCTTCTCCAAGTTCCCTTGACATGACAAAGTCAAGCACAGAAGGTAGGAAAATACTTTTGCAGCAACTATGCTAACTATTATTTTGGGTACATTTTGTGGTAAATAATTTTCTTGTTTCAAGCTTAGAGAACTTTGCTATTTTTACTTTCTCTAGTCCAAATTTAGTAGATCTAGTTTCTCTTTTAGTCCATTCTTCCTGGAAAAAGAAAAGACCGCTCTTCATAATCTTATGTTCACTCTTCTTTGTAAAGAGATGCATACCTCCACCCATTTCATTTTCAAACCGCTGCATAGCTGGATGTTTCTTCATGTACCCATGCACAACTAGTCATCATAAGGACACAATCTTTTTTTGAAAAAATGAGCTTGTGTGTGTGTGTGTGTGTGTATATATATATATATATATAAAGAGCTTGTTCATCATTTATCAGGTTATGAAGATGCTAGTTTTTATGTTGCTCTTGTTCATGTATTCATCTTTTGGGTTTTGAAATTTACAGAATGGTGCGTGTTTTAAACCCCCTACCTCTGGATGAACTAAAAAAATTGCATTCAAGTAGTAAAATGAGTTGCTATACTCGAGGTGTAATGTACTTTTAACAAAAATCCTACTTTCTCGAACCTGAACTATACTTTGAACAATCTATAGGCCAAACTACTATGAGAAACACACTAGTACCTTCTTCTTTTAGGGTATGCTTACTAGAATGAACCAACTAAGTTGAGATGATAATAGACGTAAAACTGGCTATCATTCTATTACTGGATTTGAAAATTCAGTTCTCATAGATTGCAGTTTCTCTCCATCTTTCAGTATTTTCTGAGAACGAGTTTCTACTTTGTTCCTTAATCCAGAATGGCAGGTATTGTACACAACACAAATGACTCAAAAGGCAAAGAAGTTCCATGATGGATTTTTACAACTTGTGATGTCTAGTTCACATTGCAAGCAGGTTGGTTTCTGCAATTATTTCTCATCTAACTTGTATGTATTGAACATATTCCACTGTTTGCTTGAATCTATAAAGTATATTTTGCTCCTTTTTTTGCTTAATTTTTATAATATGTATTAGAATAGCATCACCAACCTTAAGCTCCCCCTCCCTCAGCCAAAGCAAAAAGCTTGTTGTTGCTTGCTTATGAGAGCATTGTAAAATTTTAACCCGTAGACGTCAATGAAATTCCTTTATAAACTCTTGCTATTGCAAGAGTAAATGTTGTATTCTGATTATCTAGCATACATATATTCATAGCCACACAGGATTATTGTCTTTGGGTCTCCAGTGAGTTTCAACTTGAAGGTGAATATGGCCTCAAGTTTCATACTTATGATCAAACCGTGCATTTAAAGAAAAACCTTTTTTATCTTAACTAAAAATTGTTACTCCTATTTGTTAACTTCTGGACTTCCAGTTAAGGTCCACATACAAAGAACCTACAAGATATTGCCAGGGAATCAGGGGTGGAGCAAGATGAATATTGAAAAGTTGTTTCTACACTAGCTTATCTGAATTGTATTATTTGTAGCTGTAAAACTTTGTGAAACCCCTTGCCAATGAAAGCAAGGGGTTTGCTTTCTGGGCTGAGTTCGCCACACCGGACTTGCCTAGTGCGGATTACCTCTCTTGTGTGGTTTGCGAGCTATCGCATAGGAGCGGTGGTTTTATCCTATGCGCACCCAAAATGGTAACGACTACGGCTTTTCCTTGTTATCAAAATAAAATAAAAATATTAATGGTGTTTTTTTTCTAAATTTTCAAATAGAAGTGCATAGTTATGCTCAATATTATGTCCTTATATTGCTAACCTTTTTTTCTTGGACTAAAATGGTTTGCTGATTGTTTCCAGATCATGTTGTATGATGCAACCAGGAGACTCCTTGATAGCAGATTTCTGAGAAAGAGCGAGAGCATCATGTCTGGCAACTCGGTAACATTTGATGGTCACTTAGTGGAAATAGGAGAATGCGAGAAGGACCAAAATCCTCGAAAGGACATTAGTCCTCAAGGAAAACATATCAAGGATCTTGTGAAAAGAGGACCAATACGCGGGGAAGTCGCTGTCCACGATAAGTTTTCCGCTGGTAGGTCTGACTTTGTCAACAATAAAGAATCAGTAAAGTAAAAATAATGTGTTTGATGCTCATGTAGGCAGGCCAGCTTATAATAGATGTTTTTTATGACTATCTAGTTTTGCGCATCCTATTATCTTGGACTTATAAATGGAACTTTGAAGTTTCCATGTCTTTAGGTTTGGATGGACCAGGTTCTGTGAATTTAGATTGTGTTTCAAGAATTTTTCCGAAAAATATTGTTTGTGTATTTTGAATATGATCATCATATTTCACTTGTTAGGCTATTTTAAGAAGTTGTCTGCTATCCTAAAATGAGAACTTTTTCTTAGTCTCTATTGGTGTAAACGACACTTCCTTCAAGTTTAGTCATAGTAATAGTTCTAAATCTATGTATAACAGTCTGAACTTTATAAGCATGTCACTTGAATTATTTAGAACTTGCAGTCCTAACAACATTTCAATCCGATGATGATCTTCAATTCCATTTCTGGATCCACCATCTTCTGACACCAGTGAACAATGAAACTCTACTCTTAAACTTAGCATCATGTAAAAATAGGTCAAAAGATACAGAATGTAGTGCTACTAGTTATTGGACAACCTCCAGGACTTGCTCTTAAATTACAATTCTATATGTTTCTTTTCAGAATGGGATGTCATGTATACTACTCAAATAACTCAGAGGGCAAAAAAGTACTGCAATGGAATCCTTAGGCTTTCATCCTGTGGTTCCTACCAATCTCAGGTTAGTCTATTCATCTACACTCCCGCAACTGTAATTTAGTCATCTTTGTCAAGTTTGCCGAGGATTTGGTTGATAAGCATGTCTGTTCTTATCTTATTTTTATCTGCCTAGTATTTTTATGGTTGCGTAGATTATTGGAACCTAATCAGTCAGGCATCTAAATCTTTGCATCAAGATTTGATTCAGATTTTCAGCATTAACTGACTAACTATATTTTGACTTCCTAATTTGGATTATTTTCAAACATCATTCAAAATATTTAGCTGATTATAGTACAGATCTCAATCTTTTTAGCTATTTCTGACATAAATACCACCACAAACAAGCCAGGTTACTCTACTTACAGAAGACGGGATCATACTATGCCGAAGATTTCTCAAGTTATCAGAACATGTCACAACTGGAACTACACTGAATCTGCCAAATTACATGGTTGATGTTGGCGACATAAGGACAAGTTCAGAAGGTAATTTTCTATGCTACATGGCTAATATTCTTGCTCTTCTCAATCAGTAAGGTAAGGTTTGTCATTTAGCAGTCACATGCTTTCACTGTCTTGACAACTCTATGTTTATGGACCTGATTTCATTGCTATGTGCAGGAAAACCTCAAAATAATGCTTCTTCCCAAGAGCACGTACAACCTGACATTAAATTATCTGGACTCGAAAAAATCAAATTAAGTAGGAGAATATCCTCTAACAAGCCAACTCCACATAGTAAGTCTGTTGGCAATTTAGTGAATAAATGATGTTGATCTCCAGAAACAAAACAATCTTGCCTTTTCTTTGCTTACTTCAACTTTACATGCACTTTTATTTTGTTTCTTCTATCAAGCTTTTGTACTTTTCACAAGTATTTAGATATCGATAAGTAACAGCAAAAACTTCTCATCCCTACTACTTTTTATAGCATCATGTTACATAGTATCGCACATGATTACAACATAAGTATATTATAGGCTACAGAACTCGTGATCTTACTCTCAACATCTAGTACTTCCATTATGCTCACTTTTCCTGCTTCCAATTGGCTTTGCTTAACAGGGGAACCTCAAATTGGAGCTTCTTCACTGGAACATGTGGATTCAGAGACTTCAAGTGTTAACAACTCAACAAGTTGTCAGATTTCCAAAACTAAATCTGTTCGTGCAGGTAAGCTGTTGGTCTTTTCCTTAGTTAAGAAGCAGAATTTAACTTTTCTCCAGAAGATCTGGTCAAGATCATTTGCTCACGACTTTCAGCCATTTTGGTTAATCAATAGAACTCCTAATTAAGACAACAAATTGAAAATTTTTAATCATATTGATCTGTATGTGGCACACTACTTAGGCTGGATCAAAGAGTCTTTAAAAATGGTAAACACATGCAGCAATTTTTGAAAGCTCTCAGTATTTGTTCCTTCACCATCTTAACAAGCACCTCTACTCTTGAATTTGTGGAATTATAGTTTGCTGAGCCTCCTTACCTTGGATTAGTTCCTGAAAATCTACACATGGGGAACTGGCTTAGTGTCTAATCTAATTGTCATAACTTTAGAAATGCTTTTTCTATTAAAAAAGTGGCATATGTAGGTCACAAGAAAATCATTACAAGTAGTTTCTAAAGTAAGTTCTCTAACTAAACAAAAAAGGAACAACATGTCAACCACTTATGACAAGGGGGGAGCAACAGGGTTAGGACAAAAGTAGTGAAATGAACCAAACAGTGAAACAAGAATAGAATCAGCAAAACAGAATGTGGGGGTAAAGAGTTGCACTGGACTTTAAAACTTATACTAAGTCATTTTGTGATGTTTGATTGAGGTAAAAAAGGTATGATTGGATAGGGGAAGAATAACAACATACTCGTGAAATCCACTAAGTGGGGTCTGGGGAAGAAAAAGAGGGTTGCAAATCATTTCCCTTGTTTGGAAGGTGTAAAAATGGAGGGATTTGAAATTTGGATACACAAAAGTAAAAGTGGAGGGATTTGATTATATGATGCTCAGAAGTCGAACTACGGTGGTCTGAGTTTTGGATTCTCCTGTATAGCAGCTTTTTGAACCCCCTTGTTTGCACCAAATAACCGAAAATAAATCATCAATTGTTTCTCTCTTCTGTATCATTCCTTCTAATTTCATGATACCAAACATAATGTCAGCAAACTGCAATTTTTTCTTTTGACTAAGCAAGTCATAAGGTTTTATTTGGGAAAATTATGATATGTTGTCATCAAAATGAACCCCCCCAAAAGCTAATCCCTCCTTTATCTAATGTTTTGTTTTTATGATAGGTAGAGATAACATGTTGTATTTCTTCTTATGCAAATGAACATGCTGACAGTAACTACTCTGTTTTAGCTTAACAAAAAATATTAGTGGAAATGGATTTTCCTCCCACTGTTGTACATTTGTTTTATTGACAATTATGACTTTCATAATTTATTTTTATATATTTTTTTTTTGGGGGGGGGGGGGGGGGAACACTGAGCTGCCTTTGGTTTATTAATGTTTGTGTTAGAGACCAGCTTAGCTGGATACTTAAATCAGTCAGTAATCTCCAAGTTCATATTATATAAAGATAAATATCAAGTACTGGTGTATATTTATCCAGTTCAACTGATGAATTAGACATGCATATATGATATTCATTGAGTAAGCTAACTTACTTCTTTTTGGCAAGTATGGCCCATAGTGTTTTATTTTTGCCAATCTAGTCAATTGCTAAATTCATCTTTTTAACTTTTGATGCTATGCTTCTTGACAGCCCATGAAATCTTGTCCTTTCTTAGAAAACCAGTCACTCCGGAAGGTGCTGTCACAATAAGGGACATCACATTTGCAGATGAATGCCAACTACTGCAGTCATCAAGTCGTGCTTGCAGTGTTGTTAAGAGTCAAACAGAGGAACATCTCTCTCAAGACTTCAAAGCTGAAGGTAGTTCACCAGAGCATAGGGAAGAAGGAATTATCATGGTGGATAGCAACGACTGCAACATCTCAGAGATGAAAGTTACTGATGCATTCCGATTGGACGGCATATCCCAATTATTGGATTGTGCCAACCAAAGAGTATCTAATACTCATTCACCAGGCTTGTCAGCAGGGTAAGTACTGAAGTTCATATCACAACAGCTAATCCCCCTTTGATTTGTCAACTTTATCTGCTGATGTGTCTATGGTAGTGTTATGATAATCCATCTAGCCATGAAGTGACACAAAGCGAGAGGTTATCACTTAATAGGTGAAGAAGCTATGCACTTCAGAGAAGTTTGCACAAATTAATTCCAACGAGAATCAGTGGCTTCTTTGAATCTAAACTTTGTGGGGCTGGATTAGTATGACATTATTATATAATATATGCTGAATTTAGATATTATAATTGCAACTTAATTCATAGATATTTGGTATTTTTTAGTCTTACGAAACTTGTGTGCTTTGCCTCAAAGAAGTGTGAGCTTCACTTCTCACTTTTTACATCAAACTCCATGGACCTTGTCACTTTTTTGCACTTTTTGCTTTTAATAATATTGGTCTATGGATACTTGGTATATCAGGATAAGACATATCTATCTGTTATTCATATGTGTTATGATTATATGACGTTTTAACTTGTACTTGTCATATTTGGTTTGAATTACTTATTTCCAGAGTAGCAGCATCGGAGGTATGGCTGTGTGATATAGAATACCCTCTCACAGAGAGATCCCCAAATGCGAAGCAGAAGCATTTGGCTATTCCTGAGTCAGACTCTAAGGTTCAAGCAGTTGAAATACTCTGCCTCGACAGGTCTAACAAAATTTCAGAAATCGAGAAAGTATCTGAGTCAGTCTCTTACCAAGGCAAGCATCCTCAAGAACTCATAGCAGCATATCAATTTTCTACTTCCTCCGGTCCATTTTAATGTCTTTAAAGATTTTTGGCACACCCATTAAGAAAATCATGTCTTCTAGAAAAAGAGTATACTGTTGCTGAGATTTTAAAAAAAAAATTGTATAGATCATTTATTAGAGCAAGGTAGTATGAAAAAAGAAAAAAGAAAAAGCTAATGCCTTTTGGTTTCCCATAGCGACAATTTATTTGGGACCAAAATTGTTTTGCTAAATGACATAAAAATGGACCGAAAGTATTAACTACATTTGCTGTCATTTGTTTCTGTCCATGCAGATAATCCTAGAGGCTCAATGCCTGCATCAACAGATGTTTGCACCTTAACTAATATGTCCAACAAGGTAAACCATTGAACTCCCTGTTCCTTTTTGAGCTTTGAGTCAAATATGAAGAAGATAAACTTGGTTTTCTTCTCCTACATAACAAAAGGAAAAAGGCCCAAGGCAAGCATTGAGCCAAGCCAAGAATAAGAGGACAAGAAGTAAAATATGAGTTGAAAAGTAGGAAGACAACATTACCAATTTCGGGGAAAAAAAAGTAGGGGAAGTTTCGAAACAAAGAAGAAAAGAGGAACTTTGAGGTTGGAATATTGGTTTCGATAGAAACTACTAGGAAATTATATGCATACCAATCAGCTTTTAACAGTAGAAGATTATAACACCAACTTCTCATTCATTATTTACTTAAATGGATTCACAAAATGCTGATTATAACATTGTTTCTGCCATCAATACTTGTTTTCTGACAGTATCTGCTGTTTTCCTTAGCCTTCTGCGGATAACAAGCAGATCAATACCCAACAGCAAGACGGATTTTCTGGTGTGATCAGTGATGCTTCAAATGATTCGGCTCCACAGTTCCCTTGCATTTCAACTAAGATAAAACTTGAGCATGACATCAGTGCAAGCAAAATAAATGATTTTCCGAGTTTTGATCTTGGATTTGACTAGGATTATTGTTATTTCGTTCTTTCCATGTATCAGCAAAGTACCATCTTCAAGGCTTTTCTAATGGTCGTAATTTCATCACAATTACTGTTTGATTAGAGGGAAAACAGAGTTAAAGATTTACTGAAAGATTGAAGTTAACGACTTTGTGGATATTCTTGTTACTAGACTAGATAATTTTTGTGGGAAGTGAAGACATGTGCATAGAGCCATAGACTACTCAGATAATATACTTTTCATTTTGAGTTCGATATGTTATTGTACATTCAATTGCAATATTGTCAATATCTACATGTAATATTACATGAAAGTTTAAAATGGTTGGTAAATATTCCCTCTATCCTATGACAACTTGGATTTCGAGAATCGAACAAGAAAATATTTTATCACGATTTATTTGTATGTCCTTTTAAATATTTTACATTGTTAATTCTTGTGACTTATAGTAATGTTTAAATATGTAAATCATTTTTTATGTATTTCCGAAATTGGTCGAAATAAAAAAGTTTACTCTCAAAATCTGAATTATGTCATATAAATAGGGACCGAGGGAATATGCAGTAGTATTTGCAGAAACAATTTGATATGGTCACAAGATGAAAAGCAATGAACTTTCAATAACAGATAGTAGTTTTACATTTTACAGAGCTTTTGAACTTTCTTCTGCCCTGCAATTTCATATTTTTGGCTCATGCAGTAAGCTAGGTTCCCATATACTTGTAACCTGTTCTACTTTTTATACGTAGACGATACCATCAATCACTGCCTTTTTAGCTCGGAAAAACTTGATGATATCTCTATTTACTGGTTTCATATTCTATCATCGTGGTATTTTGAAGGTATACCTGCCTTTCTTGATCCCTGAGCATGACCATGACGACCAAGAAATGCTGTAAGTAAATTCTTACTCTTTCTGGCGTATTCTTGCATATCTTTTGCACTGTTTCTTTCCGGGTTTATGGACATTGACATCGCTCTCCGTGGCTCAGATGGACACTGTACATATCCAAGAACATATAATATGATCACTTAGCATGAACCAGCATTTTTCTTCTTCTCTACAAACATAATGTACTTAATTCAGCTACGTTGTTCAAACTCTTCAAAAATGTTGATAGGTGCATTTCGGATCCTCAAAAAACTAAAATGGATACCACAATTATTTTTGGAGAGTCTGAGTAACATAGCTTGACTGCATCGATAAAAGTTCTTACCCTCTGTTTAATACTGGAAGTGCTGGGTGAAATTGATCTGGTTACAGCGGATCCAAAACGAGTGAGAGGAGAAACTGATCTATTAACTGATCCAGAACGCTTGACACCAAATTTAAGTGGTGAAATTGATCTTTTCCCTGTTTCATTATTCAATATGTTAGTCAAGTTTTCCTTCTACATACTGGTAACATAAAAAAAAAGGTTACGCTATCAGATCACCTAAACGATAACTACTAACAAAAACCACAAAAAGTAGGATTAGTAACATGGAAAATAAGGCCAAATTACCTCATAGAATAAGTAAAACAATTAGGATAGTGCAAAAATAATATTGTGTTGTCCGTGTATATAAATTAAATCCGTATTATTTAAGTTGTACTTACCAACTTCTTTGTTGGATGGAACCCTTGTAAATGAGAAGTTAAGAGGATTTGGAGAAGCATCTGTCCATGAATTCTTGGAATGTTTTTTCCTGTATCAATTTTTAAAATTGTTACTAATTTTGAAGAAAAAAAATAAAGGTTATAAAGAAAACTTACATGTACTTTGGAATAGATGGATGAGGCTTTGATGGTAGAGCTTGAAAAGGATGAGGAAAACAATCACCTAATGCCAAGAGAGAAAGAACCAAAGGAAGTTACAAAAAGAACTACAAAAGGCCAAAGCTTTAACGAATTCCGTAGATTTACTATCGTCTCATCAGAAAGTTTAAATTGTTAGAGAGAGTATACTTCAATCTTATTCAATTACATTATTGTTTTAACACTCCCCATTAAATTGCATGATCGTCTCATCTAAAAGTTTAAGATGTTGAAGATATGATTATTATGTAAAAAATGTGCTCCTTATGATGACTTGAACTTTTAGACTCTGTTAATCAGACTCTTTAAAAGCATTGTCGAGTCTGATACGTGTGCTTCAACATCTCTAGAAGATTCTATTAACATAGGTTTTAGATGAGATGATCACATGATTCAACAGAATTCAAAGGCGTTAATAAGAGAACAAGAAATTGGCAAATAATGTACCATGCTGCAAGTCCTCTTGAGGACACAAGTTTTGTTCACTATTTCTTTGTCTTGGTTTTGGAACTGCAGGTTGTGTCTCTGCAGCTGCAAAACGTAAACATTGAGAATGAAATCGTTGTAACCAGAGGCGGATTCAGAATTCGAAGCTTATAGGTTCCTATAACAAAACTCAAGTTAATACTATCCAATAATAATTATATTTACACTCAAATATTTATAGATATATTTAGTAATTTTTTGTAAAAAATTTACTGAATTAACGTGAACCAGTAACCAACAATACTAATGAAGAGGAGGGAACAAGATACTTGCCTGTATTTACGTAACGCTTATGTTGCTTTGGAGTCACAATTATCAAAGATTGTTGCAAAAGGCCACTTCGATCAACAATTTCTTGGCATGTTTGCAATTTCTATTAAAAAAAATTAACACAAAAAAAGAAAATGACAAGTTAGGAGACTCATAATTCTTCCTCTACAAATGAAATAAATTTCTAGTAATAGAAAAACTAATTGTTTATAATGGATTAAGAAAACATCGAATGCAAGTAAGTTCTTATTATATATCAAATCACCTAAAAGAGTAACTACAAGTAATCGTTCATGAAAGAGTAAGATCGTTAACCTCAAAACTAAGACATGTTACATGCTACAATATGTTAACAAACATCAAAAGTTCCTTACACTATCAATGTAACAACAACAATAATCACGGTACGCCACAGTCCCAAACAAGTTCGATTGATTATACATATCAGTATATATAAGTTAAGTATATTACCTGTTCCATGCACGAAAATCGAAGCTTGGTTGTAGAAAACTCATCAACTTTTTCATCCAAGAAAGTATTTAGTTTACAAGCCACAGAGCCCAAATGATCCACACTACTAACTAGAGCTTTACTCACATAATCTTTCAAAGTCTCTATCACTCTGTACACATTTTTAATCCAAAAAAAAAAATTAAAAGAATTATGAATACTTAAAATTGATTAATAAAAAAAATAAAAATATCCAACAAATAATTCAATGAGAAAGGGAAATTACTTACAATGTTTTGTGTTCATTTTCTCCATAAGATGACTCAAAGTATTCAGCAGCAGAATACAACTGTTTCCTTAAATTCTTCAAGTCCTAAATTGCCAAAAAAAAAAAAACACAGAGTTTAAGTTATATACGCTGACATTATACATGATCATTAAAAATTAACTTGTGTTGATAGGCAATTAGCGCAGAGCTGAGATTAGAAGTTTATGGCGTTTTAAACTTTTCACCAAATTGATAGTTCGTTTTAGTTATTAGGTTCGTAATTAAATGTATATGGTCTAAGCAAAACCTACTAGGTTCGTCTGAATTTAGTTCCGCGTTTGGTAGGTAACTCTTCATATCAAAGATTGGTATAATAATCTAGATAATGAAATGAGAACTTGCTATAACTAGTAAAATTGCATTGATAGTGTAAAAAATTATGTAACAAATTCAATGCATATAGCTAAAATCTAAAATGAATACCTCCATTTATGCCATAAAAAACCCAAGATTAAATCTTTTATCACATAAAACACGGATATCGTCAAATTTCTCTGTAACAGCTATCCTTGGCGAAAACATTTTACTATAACGATCAAGTTTCATTTGGAACTAATTTGTCATGTTATATTATATTATACATTATCTACAACAACAACATACACTATGTAATCCGACAAGTGGGGTATGAGAGGGGTTATGTATACACAACCTTATCTCTACCCTGTGAAGTTAGACAGATTGTTTTTGTGAAAGACATTCGGCTCAAGTAACACAAATCCAAATCATTAAGGAAAAAGAAAATAATGAAGACTGAAACAATAGCACACAACCGGTACATATTATCTGTTCGCGTGGTTATAAAGAGATTTGACTGCATATTTTAATGGAGAAATGAAAGTTCATACCTTTAAACTATCAGAAAATTGCAAGCTATGCTGCATGAAGATTTCATCATAATTTGAACCTTCTTGAGAACCATTTGCTCCACAAAATGGATTCTCATTTCCCATGTTTAGACTATAGTATTTTGATTCTTGAAAATAACACAAAAAATAAAATAAAAAATAGAACAGAGCAAACTTGCAAATATAAAAGAGTTGATATATCCAATAAACTAATAATAAGTAATAAAAATTCAAACTTTTATTCAAACCTAATATTCAAAAATGAATTTTATTGGGAAACTGAGAAGAAGAAAAAAAGTGAGCAGAAAAAAGGGACAAAAGATCATCAATAATACAAGTGGTGGGAAGTGATGTGTGAGAGACAGGGTTGTGGGGTACCAAGAATCTAAAAGGATGGGCTCACATATACTCCACAGGCAATCGAGATTGAACCGAACTCAATAATTTTAACTCGATATATATATATTCGTAACAAAAAGTTGCTTGATGTATATATAATTTATCTATAACTAAATAAGTAAAAAAAAAAAAAGTAATATTCATTCTAGCAGAATGCGGGTTTTTTCCTCTATCAATACTTATTTTTATGTTTTTATTTAAAAAAAACTTATGAAATGTTATTTTTCTAGAGTCTGACTCTTCAAACTAAAATAAAGATGATTGGTCGTAGTTCAGAATCTATAAATATAAAATTCTGAATCGGTCTTTTAACCTTTAGTGCTACATTCAAGGTTGTAAATGTTTTACCTTGTTAGAGTATATCTTGTTTTTCTTCTTTATTTCCTTTCCGTATAAAATAATAGATTCTTAATATAGATATTGTTTGTTTTAGCTCAATTAATATTGAAAAATCTATCTTAATATATTTTGCATATGTTAAATTAAAATCGAACATATTATATGAATGTGTGCATGATCTACACTATATTTGACTTTTCTTTTTTTTTTTAGTTTGAGGTTTTGGCGTATTATTTTTACTTTCTTTAGAAACTTGATAGCTGTGAAATTTATCAATTCTCGTCCGTTATTATAGTTAGAACCGTTAAGCTATAAGCTAAGATTTCAAATTTAAATTTCATCTTTTGAAAAGATTAGGACATTTATATTCAATGTACATAGTTTGGTACACACAATATGTTAAAAAAGATGCACTAAACTTTCTT